TGATCATCAAGACAGTATTTTTCAAAACAAATTTCATCCCAACGGTCTCCAGATTGTTTTCTGCACGCAGATAATACCTTCCCTGTCCTGAGTGAATGTCAGAGTTATATTATAGTGTAATGTTTTAAATATTTTCTCTATGGGATTCAAAATCTCTGCTTTGTCTCGTATGATGACCCAACCTCCAGGCCTCAGTATTCTATCCATCTCAACTAGAATGGCGATGGGTTGTTTGCACCTGTTAAAAAGAGATTCTGGAGATCAAAATCTAGCAAATTTTGTTTCAAGAAGATTACCACTCAATTACTATGTATTTGAGTGGTTAGGACAACAAAGGACAGTAATATTTCAGGAGGGGCAAAATTGATATTTTAGGAGGGGCAAAAGACCAAATTACTCTTTAATATTAGTAAAAATTTGAATTTGATGAGGGACAATTGCCCCCTGGACTCAGCTTGGGTCTGCACCTGTTGACAGCCATGACCTTCGTTATAGGAAGATTAGAAAAAAAGGACATTTCAAACATTCAACTCAATTCCTATATATCTAACAACTAAACTTTATCTTTTATATTAATACCACGCATATCAGTATTTTAACTTTTACACGGTGAAATTCGCTTTTTTCATGCATAGGAAAAGTGGAGTATATGTAAAAATTGAAGTTAAAGTATTAGATGTGTAAATACATAGGAATTAAGCGATATATATGTAAATCTTCCTAAAGAAACCAAAACCAAATGCGATGGTACAAAAACAAAATGAAGAACATTGATGAAAGACTGATAGTACACACCTGTTCTTGAGGCGGGAAAACAAGTGATCGGCGTGCAAAAGATCATAAGATCTCGGATAAGTGCTGAATGGTTCACACCAATCATGGTAGATGCCGAGCAGACCGCGCTCGAAAATGATAGGAAGAGTGTTTGGAGCATGTACAGGAACTACATTCATAACCCAAACCTTTTGAGGTATTAGAGCCGCTGCAAATCTGAGAGAATTACATGACAAAACTTCAATATATGGCGGTGAAAATACTCGTATTTGCAAAGGAATAATACTCAAGTTTCTAAGATTCAAAACTGAGAAATTTGATAGTAACAATATTATTTACGTTACAAAATAAAAGCTAAAGTAATTCTCCTTTTAAGATAGTAAGGGGACTATTTAAGCTTATAATAGCAGTGTATAATGGTTAAGTTGACATTTTTATAGACTGGGACTAAATTGGTCATCATGTTGATTAAGAAAAGCTATCAGCTTAAACTGAGTTTAGAAAGAAATGTCGAGCCTACACACCCTCCATAGATGGCTTTCATATCCATGGCATTGCGTATCTTTGACCAATCAATACCCAGCCCAACAAGATATGATTTGCTGATGATAGCCTTCCAATGCTCATTATCAGCAGCTAATTTTTCCTGCAAATCACCAAGCCATTCAGGGAAAGTTTCAAGCCTTTTTGGCCACTCTTCAGGCCAATCAGTACCTCGCTCTTCTATGGCTGCAGGAAGTTTATGCAGGCATGTTCTTATTGGAGTATACCTACATGAAGAGTTTTAGGCGCTGATCAAGTTTAAATTCAAGCAACCAGAACATATATGTCAGCTAATAATGCTTAACAGAGAATTCTCTAAATACCAAATGATGTGGTGATGGGTGTAATTTTGGTGAAGAATTGGGGATGGACTAAAAAACAAATAAAAGTATAGAAATGGTCCCCGACTCATAGTTATTTTAATAGGGGGTTAAAAGCCCATATTAAAAGAGTCTAGGGACTTGACACTTTTAGAGGTTTTGGGATTGAAATGACCCCATGTAAATAGTCAGGGGACTATTTT